AATGACCACCAAACCTTAATCTTAGCAGACAAATGTGCCAATGAAAATCGTAAACGTGATGTGTTGGTGAAAATGTTGGACCAAAAAGTTTTAATAAAATACATAAAAATTTTGGGCGGGACGAAGTTCGCCGGGTCTGCTAGTATAATATACATTGATATATAATATAATCTTGTAATATATAGACAATAAATCTTAGTTTATAGTTGTATTAATACATTTCTATTATTGGGGTATTCATAACGGTGTCGTAAGTATCGTATGGTTGTATGTCGTAAATTTTTAGTGGTTAAATAAATGTCTAAAGGACTCGAAACCACAACCAACTATTTCCGACGGTGTCAAAATTCATAGCATGACTTACGAACCCCGTAAATATACATATATATTTTTAGCCGTTTAAAGTTTACAAAATAACAATATGACATTTAAGACACCGTTGTGAATACCCATTGCATGTGAGTAAAATTATAAAATACGTTCCTACAGAAGTGGAATTAAAGCCTTTAATAAGTTTTAGGATGTTAGCTTATCTATTTTAAAGTATAGTTAAATAAAAAATTCTGAAATATATCGTTAATTTCAAACACAAATAAATAAAACATTAAAAAGTCGCCAATGCTTGCTGTATGACACGAATTTGGATATACGTATACTTGGGTAATGTATAGTTCCTTATATGACTCCTCACACAATCCCAAATACAACACTGTGGAACACAAAAAAAAAGCTATAGAGCGAATATATCAGGTTTGATAGCTGTTGGCCATACCAATAATGCTTCATACTCAGATTTACTAGATCAATTCGTTTTCTCCGAGAAAAAAATTTCACGATCAAAAAATCTGAATATAGCGGCATATAGCTGTGCGACACTAAAAAATACCTGGGAAGTTATATATATTTTCTGGCAGGTCTTTTCGAGTAAAACAAGAATCGAAATATGAAATTTGACAAACACCCCCTAAATCTTGATTTACCGTTAAAAAATAGGTTTTTCGTACTTTTGCGCACTTATAAGCCTGTAACTTAGTTCATTATGAACCGAGTTTCGGTTTATTGCTGGGTTTAAAAAGAAGAAACTTGGGCCTTTCGAACGAAATATATGCGAATAAAAGAACCTTAAGAGATCTGTGTGTACTTACCCACCAAACACATTTTTTTTTACTTTTTTCAACTTTTTCAAATTTGGTGAGCTTTTTATGCACTATTTTATAAGAAAACCATACTAGTCCTAAACTGATTGTAAAAAACGTCCCTCTTGGTCTGAAAAAACGTCATGTCCTACACAAAAACATCTTTTTCAAATGTATGCACACAGAATTGGCCTTATTAAACTTTTATTATATGCAAAGGTACAAAAGTATGTATGTAAGGTATATTAAATATCATTTCGACAGAGCACATTTAAAATTCATTGTAAACTGGTTTGAGATCGCTAATATAAAAATCATTTTATACATACACTTGTGATCTTGTGATCGGCTGATTAAGTCATTAACATTTTGATCGATTGTGGCTGTTTTTCTTTTGTTTATTTAATGTTTATTATTTTTCCATAAAAGCTCATTATATAACAAACCAAATATAATCCACATTTCAATTTTTGTGCAAAAATTATAAAACGAACGAGTTAACGAATAAATTATAAAAAATCTGCAAAGTTTCAGCTAGATTTTCAACTTTTTATTCAGATTTTTAAGAATTTTTTTGGGTATGCAGTTTGATAGCCCATTAAATTCCAGGGTAATAATGTGAAAGTTTTAAGTTGCTAAAAAATCGCGTTGATTTTTAATAATTTTTTTTTTCGTATAGACATTTGGTTAGGTGGTCGGTTGTCGAAAATGCTAAATCACGTTCTGCTAAGAAGGAGCATACACGGTTAAAAATTTCGTTTTTATTTTTAAACTTTTTGGACTACATATATGACCAAACTAAATTCAGTTTCAAATACAAACCTTCCAAGTTTAAAAAAAAGAGAGCACATATGTTGGATTTAGAATTTAAACAGTTTTATATATAACTAAGAATAATAAATAAAAGATCTGACGGGGATTGAACCCGGACAGTCTTGGTAGCAACCAATAGTATCAAGCATCTTTGCACACCCAGCTACAGCCACGTATGTAAATGTGCTTTCATTTGTTGAGTTTGAATCAATACCACATTTCGCTGTGCAAACATTTTCTATTTCGGTTTAGATTTTAATGCAAATTTTCTATATATGAAACCTAGAAACTAGAATTAAAACGTTTTGGTTTGATTTTTAAACCACGAACTTTTGGGACTAAAATTTAAACCAGAATATATTAAAAATTGCTTAAAACTATTGACTGGTGTAAAAAGGAGACTATTACTACGTTTATACGTAAGCTATTTGCAAATAAAAAACGCGTGTGTAACATCGTACACATGATAGAAGTGAAACTTCTTAAAAAAGGTGTGAGTACCAGGTACCTACTCACGAAATTGGATGTGTAAACATATGTTTACGGTTCGGCAAACCATTAGGCGATTGAGTTACATACATAGGTTTGGTTAGAAATCAAACAATAATTTCATTTCATCTTATTAATCTTCTGATATACATATAATTTATTTATTAATTTTCCGGTAACACCACCTTACGAATTCGACATTACCAAGGGACTAAGTAACGTACGCACTTTTGTTTGCAAAATGCATTTATTTAAGTTGAAAGAAGACAAATTCCTTTGTTCGGCATTTATTCTTACTCGCTTTCTATCTTCCAAGGCGAATTCATATATTCTTATCACGAATTCATATATTCATGTGGTAGCAAGAGTATAAAAACATAAAATTACCTTATAAATTAAAAGC